CTTTCTTTCTTTCTTTCTTTCTTTCCTTCTTTCTTTCTTTCTCTCTCTCTCTTTCTTTCTTTCTTTCTTTCTTTCTTTCTTTCTTTCTTTCTTTCTTTCTTTCTTTCTTTTCTTTCTTTCTTTCTTTTTGATACTGCGGATCAAACTCAGACCTTGTGCTTGCAAGGCAGGCGTGGTGCCACTGAGCTAAAATCCCCAGCCCTGCATGGCTTATTTTCTATAGAATTTCTCTGTGTCTGTTTTTTTTTTTTAATCTGCAAAATGAGAGCAATAACAGCAAGCTACTTGTAGGTGGCCAAATTAAATGAGATAATATGAGTAAAGTGCATAGCACTGGAACATAATGTTACAGCTCAATGAATATTATATACTTCTGTGGTGATTATCATTACTTTTATTGCTCATAGTTGTCTTCCTGTTCCATGTCGCATAGTATAAATTGTTTCCTGGGTTTCTGTTTCTCTGCCTGGAGAGAGGTGGTCTTTTCTTCTCCGGATAGTATTTAAACCATCTCACTGTTACAAAGTAGTATAGAATTACTAAGTAGAAGAATAAGGTCCTTTGGTGAAAGAGCTGAACTGAAGAGCAGGGAGGTGTAGTAGACATTGTCACAGCGAGGAACAGCATGCTACAAAAGGAACTTGAGAACACACACTGCCATTGCCTTGTGTTCTCTGAAGACGTGTCACATAGGTTTTTGTTTCCTTTGTGATTTAGATTCATTTCTGCATTGGTTCTTTTTTACGTGGGTGAGCTGCCAAGTCATCTTTCCTAGGTAAAATATGTCACCATATGCACTGGCTACAGTTGTGTAATGCCCCTTGGCCTCTATTTCCAAGGGAATCATCTTCCTAGCTATAGAGAAAGTCAATTTGGAGAAGTTTGGGCTCTTTCTGCCTGATGGGAGAAACTTTTCATCTGCAGCCTGTCTGGTGATTCTTGTTTATTCTTAACATTTCAGCCCAGTAAAAATAATGTGATGGTCCCTGGCTATTTGGCTAGTTATTTCAGACGTGGGGGTAATTCACTCTGAATTTGTTTACTTCAAGTGGAAAAGTTTACCCAAGCTGCCTTTTGGGCTTCTACCAAGAAGAAAGCTTTCCTGGGCCTGTGCTTGGAGCCAGCTTCCTTTGAGTCAAAAACTGGAGGGGCTATGCAAGGTCTTGTTCCCAATAAATAGCAAGAGAAGGCAGACGATGACTTAGGTAGGATACACTCCTTTCTTTTTTACAGTGACTTTTGTCTGTCTGCTTTTTACTTTGAACCCCCAGGACGCACAGACATTCAGGTGGTTCAGCCAGAACAGCCACAGGAGCCAGCGAGCAGAGCCCTGGTCCAAGGAACCGGCACCGCCAGCCCATCAAGAACCCCAGCCATGGTGGCCTGGCCAATGGAGCAGGTGAGTGATCGCACAGCACACCAGCGTGCACTGCACTCTGCGCCCTCAGTGGTCCCATGGTGGCCCTGGGCTCTACCTGCCCTGTCCCAGCACAGGTGGGAGAGAAGAGACTCCCATACGCCAGTCTTCTCATTGGCGCATCTTCTTTGGTCTCTGGTTTCTTTTGAGCAGCCAAGGTTATTCTCCATATTTCTCTGTACAGAAATTAAAAGTATAGTTTTTCTATTCACCTCTTAGCAACATTGGATTTCCTTTGGGGATATCTTATTTATACATGAAATTAAAAAAAAATTTCCTAAACTTAGGAAATTCTCAGACTAGGGAAAAGAAGATGAAGTTTGTTACTAAGAGCTGAGTGGAAGAAGATGGCAGTGCTGGAGGGGTTTGGGCTGCTGACCAGTGTGGAGCCAGATTCCACTGGGGCACTGGGGACTGTGTTGTTGTTGTTCCACTGAGGCACCCAGCATAGAAGAGAATCTGTCCTGTCCACATCCAAGTGGAACATCCCTGCACTTGGCTCTGCCTCCCTGTAATTGGGAGCAGAAGGACCTGTTTCAAAACAAATCATTTTTTTGTCCTGTCTTCCCTGTGTCTCAATAGGATTGTCAGAAAGGAAAAAGAAAAAAGTGTTCATTTTCTAAAATTATTGAAGATCGTCAAATCTTTAGTGATTGCTTGTCATTTGTCTTAATTTGGGGCAGATGGGAACAGACCTGGATATTTTTGCTTCCATAAACTATAGCTAGGGGAAGGCAGATTTTTTTTGTTACCGGGGATCAAATGGCAGATGTTTAAACTGATGATACTGAAATTTTTTTTTTTGGTACCGGGGATCGAACTTGAGTCCTTGTGCTTGCACAGCAGGCGGTGAAACCACTGAGCTAAATCCCTGGCCTGATACTGAAATAATTTTGTAGATGCTCATTTGTGATTGCAGAAGTGTGACATGAAGGACAAGAGATCCAGAGCCACATAGTTTTGTCACATAAGCATAGTCATGACATTGTGACTGACCTCTGTGTGACAAACTCACCCAGTAGAAGAAATCGACTTGGCCACTTTGTACCAACTTTCAATTCTCTGCCAGCACTGAAAGGGGCTTCAGAGCTCTCTGGTAGCTGAGGTTGCCTGGTTATCTCATCGTCTGAGGGGCCTGCAAGGTGGGCGTGGCCTGTGTTCAGCGAGGCTCCTTTTGAGCATGAGCATGGCGGCCTGACTTCTCTGGAGTCTGGGACCTGTGGGAACAGAGTTGACTTGCTCACCCTGATCCTTGGGAACATGGACGTGCTGCAGCTGAGGAGTTCCAGCGGCTACTGTCTCAGCCTGCCTGGTGCTCGAGTGCCAACCACCCTATCTGTGTGCTAGCACCTTCCTGTCTGCATGAAGGTGACAGTGAGCTGGCGTCTGTGGACTGTGTGTAGAGAACCACATGTGGCTTTGTGAGCACCTGTAAATGTCCTGCTCTAAGAAAACTAGATTGCTTGTGGAGGAGGGCCAGCATTTGCAAATGGAGAAAGGGAACTGGCTTTTTGAAACTGGTTGCTTCTCAAAGCAGTGGCTGAGCTACCAAGCACTTTATACTTCCAGGAGGCCACGTTACTGTGAGAGTGGTTTCTCTTGGCTATCTCTGAGTTTCTTATAAAAGCTACTGGTAAACTGACCAGTAAACTATATGGGATGACTGTTGAGTCAATCTTCTTGGACATTTAAACAAGTCTTTATTTCCCCTATATTTATTTTTAGGTACCTTCGCCTCTTGTCTTTATCTCTAGGAATGTTGTGTTCCAGCAGATGAGGCAGATGCCAGTCATACCTTCCGAAAGCCGAGTGTCTCTAACCCCAGACTGCCTTGGAAATGTTGCATGGTCGTGCATCTGAACGCCCAGACTGTTCCTAAAACCCCATCTGTGAAGGGCAGTGGTTGTACTCCAGGCATTTCTGCCTACTAAAATACTCAGGACTAAGCCTTTGCCTCTCCCCTCTCTTCCATGATGACGGTTTCCCTTTGCCTCACAGGCAGCCTGGACTTCAGCGGCTCTTTCATGTTTGTCCAAAGGGTATAGAAAAACCTCACCTGTGCTGTGAGGAGAGACAGAAGCTGCCCTTTTAGGCACTGCGGGACAGAAGGGAGTTTGAGGATGTGAATGAGGACATCTTCGTCCCTCAGCGTGCTGCTGCTGGGCCTGTGAGGACCAGGTCTGGGTGGTGGTAGGAGCAAGCTGTGCCTCCTGAAGGGGTTTTCACAGACGAACAGGATTTACTTCATGGGCCCCTTTGGCTGCGCTGCAGTTACGCATGAAAAAGACATTTGGGGCAAGACCAGAGCTGAGTTCCAGGTGGTTTTTTTGCGTTGTCACAACTGTAAAGTATCTATTTTTATAAGATGACAGTGAGTGGCAGCCTGTCTATATAAATATAATATTTTTAAGTTTTCCAAGTGGTAGAACCAAGAAATAGACTAATGGTATAGCACTTCATTGAGACTTGTGTGGAATGGTTTACTTTCTGATTTTTTTTTTTATTGAAAACCTTACCAAAAAAATTACATCTGCTACTTCTCTCTTAAATGTAATTTCCATGCACGTTGGTCACACTGGCTGCACCTGAGTCCTTACTCCTCATGTGCAGTATATGTTTTTTTTTTCTTGGTACCGGGGATTGAACTCGGGACCTTGTGCTTTCGAGGCAGGTGGCAGAACCACTGAGCTAAATGCCTGGCCCTGCTATCAGTATTAATATTAAGTGCCACCTCATGGTTTACCCTCATTGCATCTTCTCTTGTCTTCTCTTTTCTTTCCTTCTTTCCTTTCTCCCTCCTTTGCTCTTCCATTCCTCCTCTTTCCTTCCCTCCCTCTCCTCCTCTGTGCTGGGCATTGAGCCCAAGACATTGTGCATACTAGGTGTGCACTCCACCACTGAGCTACATCCCCAGCCCTAAATTAATTTTTCTCTGTATTAGAATCCTATTATTATAGAGGCATTAATTAAATAGCTTTTTCACCTCGATTTTATTTAGTGATCATCACTTATCACATTCCTGTGTACAGTAAAGATTTCTTTGTTTCTTATTTTGAGCAGGTCCTATGATTTTGATTATTGATGTAGTATTTTTTTTAATGTCTGGGAAGACTAGGCTCTGCCTTATTCCTTTTTCTCTTTGACAGTTCATACATTTTCAAAACAAATTTGAGGCTTTGAATTCTTATGAGCTTTCTCGAATGTAAGTGGGAACTGCATTCATCTATATGTTAACCAGGAAAGGGATTTAATTTTCCCATCAGTTACCAGATGTGGCTTTGCCCATTTTTAAGTTTTTTGCCATATAACTTAACTGTTTTCTTTATAAGCCTCACCTATCCTGTGCCATGCTAATGAGGAATTCTTTTTTCTTTTTTTTTCCTGGTATACAAGGGACAGAACTCAGGACCTTGTGCTTGTGAGGCAGGCGTGCGATGCCACTGAGCTGAATCCCCGGCCCAATGAGGAATTCTTGTTGTGGGTGCTTTTTTTTTTTTTTTTTTGGTACTGGGGATCAAACTTGGGTCCTTGGGCTTGCACAGCAGGTAGTGAAACCACTGAGCTAAATCCCCAGCCCTGGTTGATTTGTTGATAGCAGCCATTCTTTCTGGGGTGAGGTGGAATCTCAGTGTTGTTTTAATCTGCATCGCTCCAAAGGTGTAGGGGTGGTGGGAGGGGAAGGGGAAAGGAAAGAAGGAAAAGCAAAAATTATGAGAAAAGAAAAAAATGGAAACAAAGTCCACGTATATAGGGAAAGGTGGAGGGGGTGAAGGGAGCATAGGTAATGGGGAAAAAAAATAAGAACCAAGATACATCATGTATAGGTACAAGCACCCAATGATAAATGTAAATGTATTGTATACCTAAAATGTACCAATAAAAGAATTTAAGGAA